GCTGTGATTATGCCCAGCTTAGTGCAGACACATGCGATCACTGAGGCTCTCAAAATGCAGAGTTTGCAGTGTTAACGGGCTGGACGTCATCTGATCGGGGGCCCACACAAACAGCTCCAGGGCCTCAGGCCATCTCAGTGGCACAGAGGGAGAGGGAGGAGTGGGCAGGGGGCTGCATGCAGCCGGAGTGGCAGCTGCCCCCATGCCACGCAGGAGCCTGGAGGTCAGCGTGGGGCTCATGACTCAGGGTCCACCACAGTGAAAACATCTGGTGGCACAGCCTTGCAAAGGCAGCCCACTGCTTTCTCGCTGAAACCTTCCAGGGACTGTTTTTAAAGACCAGCTTTATTGAGGTATAATTTGCATACCATACAATGCACTACTTAAAGTGTACAATTCAACACTTTCTAATATATTCACAGATGTGGGCAACCATCACCACGTCAATTTTAGAATATTTTCATTATGTCGAAAAGAAACTGTGCCCTTCAGCAGTCACTCCTCGTTTCCCCCGAACTCCTCCAGCCCACTAATCCACCTTCTGTCTCTGGACTTGCCTGTTCTGAACATGGCATATAAATGCAATCGTACAATACGTGGTCTTTTCTGACTGGCTTCCTTCACTCAGCACAGTGCTTTCAAGGTCCATCCATGTTGTAGCAGGTGTAGGCACTTCATTCCTTTTTATTGCTGAATAATATTCCACTGTATGGATAGGCCTCATTTTATTTAGCCATTCATCTGTTGATGGACATTTGGGTTGTTTCCACTTTTTGGCTATTATGAAGAATGCTGCTATGAATATTTGTTTACAGGTTTTTGTATGGACGTTTGTTTTCATTTCTCCTGGGTATATACCTAGGAGTGGAATTGCTGGGTGTCTCAGTCTGTTTGGGCTGCTATAACAAAATACTACAGACTGGGTGACTTATAAATAACAGACGTTTCTCTCTCACAATCCTGGAGGCTGGAAGTCCGAGATCAAGGCACCAGCATGGTCACCCTCTGGTGAGGTCCCTCTTCCTAGATCAAAGCTGGCGCCTTCTTGCTGTGTCCTCACAGGGTGGAAGGGGCTAGAGATCTCTCTGGAGCCTTTTTTATAGGGCACTAATCCCATCCATGAGGGCTCTACCCTCACGACTTAAGCAACTCCCAAAGGCCCCACCTACTATCACCTTTAGGGGTTAGGATTTCAACATATGAATTTGGGGGTACACTGACATTCAGACCATAACACTGGGTCATATGGTAACTCTGTGTTTAATGTTTTGAGGAACTGCCAGGCTCTTTTCCACAGGGCTGCGCCATTTCACGTTCCCAGCGGCAGTGTGTGAAGGTTCCCATTTCTCCCCATCCTCGTCAGCACTTGTCATGTCTGTATTTCTGTTAGCCATCCTGGAGGGTGTGAAGTGGTACCTCATTGTGGCTTTGATTTGCACTTGCCTGATGCCTAGTGTTGTTGAGCATCTTTTCTTGTGCTTATTGGCTTTTGTACCGTTGCATTTTTATAAATTGTGAGATATAGCTAATGTGCAAAACAGCTCACGAACATCTATGTTGATTTAAAAGAATAGTTATAAAGCTCCCCGAGGAACAGAACATTGCCAGCACCCCGGAAGTCCCCCTGGTGACCCTCACCCCCCACCACAGGGACAACCACTGTCCTGATATTTGTGATCCTCTTTCTTACTTTTTATTACACTTTCCCCTCTGCACGGGCCCCTAAACCATACGATCCGGTTTTGCCCACCTTTGAACTTGATACAGATGAAATCATTCTGTGGACACCTTTCATGATTGCTTCCTTCCCTCCCCACTGTATTCCGAGGTTGACCCCTGTTGGTGTGGTTTGCTATAGCTGTTCATGATCAGTGCCCTGTAGTGTCCCACTGAGTGCACATGCCTCGGTCTACCCAGTCCACCGTGGATGACATCTGGACGGCGCCCTGTTTGGAGCTGTCAGGAACGCTACTGCCGTGAACATCATTGAACCTCTTTCCTGTGCTCGCAGCCTGTGGTTCTCTCGGGCACGTGCCTTGGGAGTGAAGTCCCCGAGTCACAGGCTGCGCATCTTCAGCTTATTAGACACTGTGCTGGGTCTGCACTCCCGCCAGCAGTAGAAGAGTTCCAGGTGCTCCGCCTCCTCGCCAACGCTCAGCAGTGTCAGAGTACACTCCAAACGTCCCCCTGGCGTCTCTGTGTTGAAGTCTCTGGCTGCACTGAAATCGCAGTCAGCCAGGCCCTCGAGCCTCAGAGGTGCCTGCCTAGCCCTGCCCCCGACACGCATTGCACCTCTGAGCCTCGCTCCTTCCCTACGCTTCTCAGTCCAAGACGGAAAGGCGGGCTGGACATTTGGGAACTATGTCCTCACTGATGACCAAAAGGGGCATCTCTGTCATTTGGGGGGCTGCCCATCCAGTACCAGCTGCACGTGTGTGGAGGTCGTATGAGGGCGCCGGCACACAGTAGGTGCTCTGTCGCACTAGGTGTCCTAGAACCAGGGCGTTCAACCACCCCGAATCTCCGTCCCGGAATGTTCTGAATGCTTACAGCATTGCTGGCTGGTTTGATTGCAGATGCTGTGGTTGAAACTCCGTGTCCCTCCCTTCCTGTTGAGCCTGTTGACCCAAGCACTAGTCACCTCCTCCTGGAAGCAGAGCTCTGAGGGCTGGGAGGACCCTGAACACAGACCCGTCCTTGGAGACAGGGACCTTATCTTGTCACCTCTGTGTCTCCAGCACCTCCACAGGCCCAGGCCCAGAGGCAGAACTAATGACTGTTTTTTGAATGTCTGATTCAGTTGCAGGATCCTGACTTTCGTCAGAAAAGATGGAATTGCCTTCACTATATGTTTCAGTTAAGGCAGCTGAGGCTCAGAGAGGGAGTGTGACAACCCCAAGGTCACATAGCAAGTAAGCAGCCACCAAGCACTTAATTCACATCCCTTGGCCAGAAGACCCTCCCCTCCGAATGCCTCATAGACCAGCTCTAAGAGTTAGCTGAGCCTCAGTTTCTTCCCCTGTAGAATGGAGTTGTGCTAACCTCATGGAGTTAAATAAGATGCCACATATAAACCATGGGCCCAACACATGTGCAGGTGATGAATAAATATCCAGTCATTTACTTGTTCACTCACTAATTCTGTCACCACATAACAGGCAAAGGCAATTTGATGATCCAGATGAAGGACCATGAAGATGCTCACACACCATGACCCAGAAACTACGCTCACTAGTACATCCCCATCCCAGTGCCTGGTACATAGTAGGAGCTTAATAAATGTCTGTTAGGATGAATCAGGCTGAAGATGATGAGGAAGGAAGAGAAGCTTTAGTTCCAAAGATATTTCCTTCCACATTACTTATAGTTAAAAAAACAAAAAGAAGGGTGCTGGCCCTGTGGCCTAGCGGTTAAGTGCGTGTGCTCCTCTGCTGGCGGCCTGGGCCCGGACCCCGGGCGCACACTGAGGCACTGCTTGTCAGGCCATGCTGTGGCGCGTCCCATATAAAGTGGAGGAAGTTGGGCACGGATGTTAGCCCAGGGCCAGTCTTCCTCAG